GGGGAGGGACAGACCTCATTAACAGGAGCTTGGGCCTATTGGGTTCAGACCTATTGGGGCTAAAAGCCCCTAGAGAAATGTCACACCTACTTGTAGAACTCTTTACAGCAGGAAGTTAGAGAGACAGACTACTGAGGTGAGGTCCTAGAAAATGCTAGCAATAGCCAGAAGATTGACATTTTGGGAACCCCCCTCCAGGAGGTCCCAGGTAGGAGATAGTAAACACCTTTTCACAGATGCCCTGTGTCCCCTTTGTCAGATTCCTGCCTGCCAGAATGTGTCAACTAAGAGTGGACCAGGCATTTGCTTTTGCAGTGAAGAACTCTGGTACAGATACGCTTAAGAAAGATTACCATCACAGCTATGAGAACCTGTGGACCCCATGAAAGAGTAGCCCCAAAGGTGATAGGTCTGGTTCACATAGCAGTTCTCCCATGCAGGACAAAGACTGGCAAGGTAGCCTTTGGAAATGTGTTTAATTTCTTTGAGCTTCAGTGTCTTGATTCTCAAAGTAAAGATAGAGCAAATCCCCTGTTGTAGGATGGTGTTAAAAGATGAAATGACCCTGGAGCCCTTTGTATGTGTGACACACAGCTAACAATGCTGGTCTGCATTTGCCAAACAACAGCTGAGACCCAGTGCAGTGATAATGCACTCACTATGTAGACTTTTGTTATTTTCCTGAGAATCCCACGTCTTTACCTTTAGAAGGATGTTATAACACAGACTGTCAATATTTTCTCTGACGACCTCAGAGCTGGGTTTCGAGGCTTCTGTGGGAATAACAAACCTGCAGAGGGGCCAGGGCAAAACCCAAGAATTGGTCATCTCAGCATTTCTTCAGGAAAGCAGGGTAATTACATGAAGTCGGAAAAATAAAGGGCGTGTGGTAGGGTACGGAGAAGTGTAGCTCAGCTTGGATGGCACTACAGGGCTAGGGACAATCTTAAAACTAGGTACAGTGGTGTACCCCTGTAATCCCAGCACTTTGGGGGTGGAGGCAGAAGGGTTAGGCCATCCTCAGCTCCATAGTCAGTTGAAATTGGGGCTACATGAGACTGGGCTACAATCTGGGCTACAAGAGCCCCTGTCTCCAAAGCAAGTTATTTATTTGTTCATTTGTCGTTTCAGAATTTTAGGTTGTGGATCTATAAAACCATCTCCCAAATGGTATGGAAAATCTGGGAGTGGGGGTACACATTCTTGATCCCAGTCACTAGGAATGTTGAGGACCATAAGTTAGAGGATAGCTCAGGCAACTTGGCAAGACTCTGTCTCAAAATAAAGCCCAAGGAGATAAAGGTATAGTTCAGTGGTAGAGTGCTTGCCTACTGTGTGCAAAGCTCTGGGTTGGATCTCTAAGCTGTGCCACACACAAATGCACACAAACAGTCTTGATTCTGTCACTGAAGCATTGACAGGCTGCCAGTCAGTGGGTGGATCTCTACATTCCAGTTAACTCTTATGTTCAAGTTAACTCAGGTCCACTGCCAGGCCACAGCATCATGAGCTATCAAGTCACGGAGAGCCTCCCACAGGCGGGTTGATCTTAGCATGTCCCGGGAAGAAGCCTTTCCTAACCTCGTTACCTAATCTAAGTATACAGTGCACTCCTTAGACCTCTTTAGGGAGAACAGAAGAGGGCAGAGTTCTGCGAGGATGCCCCACATCAACAGGTTGAACCAGGAAGCTCTGAGACTCCCCTAAAGCATCCCTGAGCTCCTATTAGGTGGTCCTGATTCTGGAATCTCTGCCAAAGGTTATTTATTTCAACCTGGAAACAAGGAGATGATAGCTCTTCATTGAACACTGAAACCCTGAGGGCCAGGCAGGTAATGCAGAGGAACAAAGGGGCCTGGGTGTGGCTGACAGTAAATAGAGCAGTGCCTGTCCATTCCAAATGCCACCCACTTAGACTTGTTAGTTGTCATGATAATTAAGCCTGGTACTCACCAACCCTTTACCTTTTCAAGAGAGCTTGAAATTCAAGCTCTGAAATGCCCTGACTTTTTACCTACTGACTGTCCATATCTTTCGACATTGTAGAACTCTAACAAAATGCACCTGCGGGCCTCCTATCTAAATGCCCCAGTGTCTATCATTTGACTGAGAGCTTGCTTTGTGTGCAACAGTGCTGGCAGGTGCTGTACGTGCTACACGCAATCTTACAGCAACCTTGGAAAAGAGACTCCATTGATTTGTTTACTTTTTTAAGAGATGGAGGAAGGGCTCACCATGTAGACCAGGCTGGTCCAGACCTCCTGGACTCAGGAAAACTTGAGCCTCTCCACACCACTGTGTGGGGACGACACACCACTGTGCCCAGTCAGGTGAGACTATCAATGACATTTTACAAAGCAGAAAAACACACTCAGATTACCAAGTTAGATACACTGGTTAATGTTCTACAAGTCAATAGCAGTGACCTTAGGGCTGGAGAGGTGACTCAGCGGCTAAAGGCTAGGCTCACAACCACACATCAAAAGTGACCTTGGAGGCTCTCATTTTACAAACAGAAATAATTTATGTCTTCACTGGAACAACTCACAAACAGCTTATCAATCTTCAACAAGTTAATATCCAAAGTTCCCTAACCAAACCTTAAGCAATCGTACATTGTCAACACAGGCTCTCAGGACCAAGTCCCATGGCTGTCTGACTTCAGCAGTAAAACATACCCTCTCACAGCCCCTAGAGTCCAGGACCGAGGTTTGGTGACTGTTTTGGGTGAGGGCTCCCTTGCTGCTTTCCAGCTGTGTCCTCACACACGTTTCTTCAGTGTGTACAGACTGGTGTCTTTCATAGGGACTGACTCCTATTAGAACAGGGTTCCACTCTTTCAGCCTTACTCAATCCAGTTTGATTCCATAGAGTCATATACCTCTTTTTTGTGTGTGTGCTTGACACAAAGTAGAGTCATTTGAGGAAAAGGAACCTCGGTTGAGAAGATATCCTGTAGGCAAGTCTTTGGGATTTTTTTTTCCCTTGATGATTGATGTGGGAAGTCCCAGCTAACTGTAGTCAGTGCCATCCCTAGTCAGGTGCTCATGGCTTGCATAAAAATCAAACTGAGTGAGCCATGAAGAGTAAACCAGTAAGCGGTGCTCCTCCATGGTCTCTGCTTCAGTTCCGCCTCAAGGATCCTGATTTCTTTTCAAGTTGTTTTCCATCATGGTGTTTATCAGAGCAATGGAAAGTATACTAGGGCACCTCCAAATGCAATTACACTGGGAGCATAGGAATTTGGAGGACAATACAAGTAGTCAGATCTGAGCAGAGAATAAATAGTAAGCTAAACAAAATGATAACTCCCATAGCATCTGGAGGTCTCTAGGAGAGCTTGTTGGGTTCTCCAATGAGTCATTTAAAAAGGGCATGTAATAACTGCTCTGGTTATTCCCAGGTTTGGGACAATTTCTCTTAATGAGAACTCTGGGGATCAAATTCCAGGTCTCATGCATGAGAGGCATGGGTTCTACAGCCCAGCTGCACTCCGGCCCTAAAGGAAACTAATAAGTCATCATTTCATAACTCAGGAAAGCTGTCTCAGTCATATGAAATCAGTTAGCACAGAAAATTACCAAAGACACAGACAAGCGTATCCATCGATTTCCCATTTTAACAATATTCTTCTCTTTCATTTTCCTTGACTGGATTTCTCTGTGTAGTCCTGGCCATCCTGGAACTTGCTATGAGACCAGGCTGGCCTGGAACTCAAGAGATCCTCCTGCCTGAGTGCTTGGATTCCACCTGGCTTTGATCCCATTTTTCAATGTGTTCTTTTTTATTTGAAATATTTTCCAAATAATATGTTTTGATCATATTTCCCCTCCCCAACTCCTCCCCATCCTCCCTACCTTACAACTTCACACCTTCATGTTCTCTCTCTCTTGTTACTTCTTTTTGAAAAATCACAAAAATGAAAATCAAAACAAAAAAAAAAAACAAATATGACAAAAAATGCCAAAATGAAACAAAAAGCCCATTAAAACAAACAAAAAACCTATAGAGTTCATTGGGTATTGGCTAACTAGAGATACCCAATGACAATCCACTGCAAAAAGCTGACTCTTTTTCTTTGTCAGTAGGTATCAATTGCAGAGAGCTTCTTTTTTTCGGGGGGCGGGGGGGAGTAGGGCGAGTTTTCCAGAGGGTTTCTCTGTGGCTTTGGAGGCTGTCCTGGAACTAGCTCTTGTAGACCAGGCTGGTCTTGAACTCAGAGATCTGCCTGCCTCTGCCTCCCGAGTGCTGGGATTAAAGGCGTGCGCCACCACCTCCCAGCGCAGAGAGCTTCTTGTTAGGAGTGGGACCCTGTGTCTATTTGCCCTCTCAGTGCTGCGACCCCATCTGGCTGGAACCTGTGCAGATCTTGCGCATGCTGCCTCAGTCTCTATGAGCTCATCTGTGTATCAGTCCTGTTGTGTCTGGAAGACAGTTTCCTTGGAGTTATCCACCCCTCTGACTCTTACAATCTTTCAGCCTCCTCTTCCACATAGAGGCATAGAGGACAGGGTTTGATAAAAACGTTCTATTTAGGACTGACTGCTCCAAAGTCTCTCACTCTCTGCACAGGTGTGAGTCTCTCTGTTATTTCCCATTTACTGCAGGAGGAAGCTTCTCTGATGAACACTGATCATGGAATGCAATGGTAGATGTTAGGATAAAGCTCAAGGGGGGACCTTTCTTGGGGGACCATGGTGGATTCCATGACAGGCGAGGGTGATCGAGGAGTGGGGGACAAACACACCAGGCAGACAGAGATTAAGTAAGAAGTTTTATTAGAAAGGGGAGGGAGGGGGAAGGAAAGAGAAAAGAGGTAAAGAGACACAGAGACAGAGAGAGGACAGAAGAGAAGAGGGAGACAGGAAAAGTCCTGTCTGCCCCAGGGGAACAGTGGGAAGAGAGAGCCAGAAGAGAGCTGGAAAAGGGCACAGAGAGAAGAGAGCAAACAGAGAGAGGAGAAAGAGAACGGAAGTGGGCGGAGGAGAAAGAGAACGGAAGTGGGCGGAGGAGAAAGAGAACGGAAGTGGGCGGGGGAGAAAGAGAACGGAAGTGGGCGGAGTCCTTTCTTTTAAAGAGGTTCTTTATATCTGCGTGCAGACTAGTGCTCATGGACCCCTGGGCTGACCAGAGTACTGTCTGAGTGCATTCTGCCAGGTGACAGGGGCAGGCCAGCGTAATGCCTGCATCCTTACAGTAGATCCTTTATCAGATGCATGGGTAAATGTCTTTTCCCATTCTGTGGGCTGCCACTTCTCATGGACAATGGTGTCCTTGGTCATACAAAAGCTTTTTAGCTTCATGAGGTCCTGGCTATTTACAGGTTGGTCTTAGAGCCTGTGCTATTGGGGTCCTGTTTAGAAAGTTGTAGTAACCTGTCTTCGTGGGGGCTTCAGTCGGATCTGGCCCACTTGCCTGGTTTGCACCTGAAAGGACGAGTGTGGATTGAGAAACAGCAGTAAAGACAGAGACACAGACTAGAGTCAGGAGGGCAATCATGATATAAGAAACAAACAGAATTTCTTCCTTAATTCTCCAAACATTTAGTAACCATGCCTTAGATTAAATTTCTCCGTATCTGGACTTGAGGGTTAGTTAAGAGTAGCCACACCCTGAACCAAGTCTCTGGTTATTTAGATAAGACATCCACACCTAAGACCAAACATCCTACAGTGGCCACATCTTAGACCATTAGGTTTTATGACTTTAACCTTAGAAGAGTAAGGGTAGTTCTGAACTCTCTGACCTTACGCCAAGATGAAGCAAAGTCACTTTAATGGACCCCGACAGAAAGTCCTCTCCAGTGAGGCCAAGACTGCTCCCTATTTCTCTTCTCTTAGATTCAGAGTATCTGGCCTTATGCTGAGGCCCTTGATCTATGGAGTTGAGTTTGTGCAGAATGATAAATGGGAATCTACATTGGTTCCACTTTAAGGACATAAAAAGTGATGTTCACAGCTCACAGCTAGTGAACAGGGAGACCAGAAGTCAGACTTTTGATTTCTTACTCCAAGACAGACTTGCTCTCTGGACAGTTTGGTGCTACAGATGTTACATAGGCAGACTGCAGCAGCTGTTATTAACTGAACAAAGGTGTTAGCACCATATTGTTTGATATCACAAATAACAAACACAGGGAGTGTGATGGGCTGAGTCCCTGTCCTCATAGTGGTTGGAGACTGAGGGTCAGGTTATCTACTTTGTCATTTCACATGACCTCTGCCAACCTACCACCACTTCTTTTTTGTTGTTGTTTTTGTTTTTCGAGACAGGTTTCTCTGTATTGTTTTGGAGTCTGTTCTGGAACTCACTCTGTGGACCAGGCTGGCTTTGAATTCACAGAGATCCACCTGCCTCTGCCTCCCGAGCGCTGGGATTAAAGGCATGCACCACCAACACCCGGCCCTACCGCCACTTCTTCAAGCATCGTGAAAGTCTTTTTTCAGGGAAAACGTCTTCACAACCAGTCTAATCCTCAAATTTGAGCCTTTATGCTATAAAAACCAACCCTTATGGTCAAAGTATGCTGATTGTGGTAGTTCCTATTTTCATTACTGAAGATGTATTGTAGCTTAATTATGATGATTTAAAATTCATGGTTCATTAGCACAGTTCTTCTTGGCACAGAGAAGAGAAACAACTGCATACAACAGACTCCAGAGCAGGACAAAGCTTTCAGGATGGGAATTTAACAGCAGACGATGGGAGAAAGAAGTAGGTGTGACCCAATGGATGGCTGGGCAGTTAGCTGAACCAGTATTCAGGATGGCTGTCCTGATGGGGGAAGTCCTGTGTATTTGTCAATAAAACACTGTTGGCCAATAGGGAACCAAGATAGGTGGGACTAGGAGTCTGGGAGGACTCTGGGAAGGAGAAACACAGAGAGTCAAGATGTAACGCCATGGGGTAGGAAGTCCGGAAACCTCTCCGGTAAGAGAAATACTTAGATTAGCAATAATGGGATAAATACTTAAGTCAGAGATAGCCAGTAAGAAACAAGCAAGGCCTCCTGTGTGTTTAATTGGGACTGATGCGGCTCTGGAACCAGGCTGGCGGGAAGGCTTCTCTTTACACTGTCCCTTCTTCCTTCTTTCTTCCCTTCCTTCCATCATCCCTTCTTTCTCTCTTCTTTCTTCCTTTTCCTTTTGAGACTAAGGGTGGCCTTGATCATCTGATCCTCCTGCCTCCTCCTCCTAAATGCTGGCATTGTAGGCATATACCACCATGCCTAGTTTCTATAGGGCTGGGAATGCTGGCATTGTAGGCATATACCACCATGCCTAGTTTCTATAGGGCTGGGAATGCTGGCATTGTAGGCATATACCACCATGCCTAGTTTCTATAGGGCTGGGAATGGAACCCAGTGCTTTATAAGGAACCTATGCTAGGCTAGCAATCTAGCAATTAAGTTACACACCCAGCCCTCAGGATGTCTCAACTCAGTTTTTCTTTGCTATGTAGTGAGAATCTTTTTCTATTTGAAAGCATCCAATGACTTGCCACTGGACTCCAAGAGGCAGAGCAGAGCTTGTTGCAAGTGGTTAGGGATGAAGACGCACACAAGTGTGCCTGACCCACGCCCATTACCCTCTGGACTACTTTTACTTCGTCTCCATGGTACTGTTGTACAATCCTGAATAACTGGGCTTACCTGACTATATTTAGTGTCTCTCTTCTCTGGAGGTTTTATTGCTGTTTTATTGTTCCCACGGCCTATTGATGTCACAGAGTGAATGCCTCATTCTGAAAGGGATAGTGTGTTTTTTGCAGGAGGGAAAGGAAGAGTCATAATTGGATTTGATTGTTAAATGTTAAGAATAGACCCTATCATCTCTATTTAAACTCAGTGAGACGAGAAAACGAAGCTGCCATTCTGAACGAAAGATCTATATTGCTTAAGTAGTAATTATAGAGGGATAAGTGGAGAGGCACAAAACCCAGAGGCCAAGGGCAGGCTGCAATGCCACCCAACTGCCAGAGGCCAGGGGCAGGCCGCAGTGCCACCCAAATGCCAGAGAGAATGCATCTCCATGATGCAGCTTGCTCTTCATCTGTAAACTAAGAGATGGAGCCTGAGGTCTCTTCCTACTTCCTGACTCTTCTTCCCAGAACCTTGCTGCTTACTCAAGTTGTGGGCTTCCAAAGGGAAACCCTGACAAAGCAAAATCAACAAAACCCTGGGGGTATTACCCCGCTTCCTTTCGCTCAACCTTACCTCTGCCAGCCTCAAGCACCTTCCTATTTCTTTCCTCAGGTTACTATCTTGCTGACCTGAGCTTCCCCCTGTCTTTCTCTTGGCTGCTCTCCTGGGCATCCCCACGGCTTATTGCCCATCGATCTCTGAAAAAAAAAAAAAGGAAACAATAAAAAGTCAAAGACAGTTCATAGAAGTCACGAACCGTATGTTGATTCCCAGTGTATAACGTATCACCATGGAAAAAGTCCCCAGGGTAGCGGTGCCTGACTCTCTTAAGCCAGGTTTCACACGAACGTGATTGAATGCTTCAGTTTTCTAAACAGAACGTTTACAAGAATGCCTTCAACACGGTTCTCCCTTCTAAGAATGTACTTGCAGCAAGAGAGCAAGGCGCCAAGTCCAGGACTGCCTGTGGCAGTGTTGGTGGGAGTGGCCCAATGGCAATGGGCTGGGCCTCTGTCACAGTGAGACCAATCACAGCACACCCAGACTAAGGGGGGGCCATCCGCACTTCCCGGGTAATTCAGGAGCTCAGCTACTTTGAGAATTGATCCTAGGACATTGAACAACTTGGAGAGAGTCTTCAAAAATCTCCTGAAGACTCCCCAAGGAAGGCCAGCAAGATGACTGAACTGCTTCCAAGCCTAGCGATCTAAGTTTGATTCCCAGGTGAGAGAAAGAGAGAACCAACTTTCACAAGCTGTTCTCTGGTTTCAGTCACATGCGATGGCATGTCGACAGGTAACATCTGAGACCTAGAGAAAAACTTTCCCTGCCTTGCTGCAGTCCCCTCTCTGATATACGGACCAGTGTATTTTAAGCAGGCCGTAACTCATGAATTTCTTCGTTCTATAAAACTATAAAACTTCTTGAAACTGCCTCCATGCTGGCATATGGAATTTGGGGTAACAGAAATTTGTGTTTCTGGGCCGTAGCCACTCAATATGGCCCCAGTTTAAACAAAACAAAACAAAACAAAACAAAAACCCCCTATGTTTTATTCCCCTTTGAGAGCTATGTTTTTACATCACAGTTATACTCATCTTAACTATTTTAAAGTATACAGTTTGATGGCACTTAGTATATTCAGAGACTGTGCAATGGCCATGCCATTACTGTCTAGTTCTAGAACATCCTTATCACCGCCACAGGAAATTCTGGGCAGTCACTCACTATTCATTTTTCAGAACCTGGCAACACTAATCTGCTTTTGGTCTCTATGGATTTGTCTATGCTGGGCAAGACACAGTTAGAATTATGTAACATATATTCCTTCATGACTGGATTGTCATTTAGCAAGTTTTCAAAGTTAACTCATGGTGTAGAAAATATCAGTATTTCATTCCATTTTATGAATGAATACTATTCCACTCCATGGATATATTACATTTTTGCTTTCAACTCCTCTCTCTATATTTGTGTTTCCCCAATTTTTATTACACTTTATTTAATCTGTGTGTGCATGTGTTGGGTCATGTGTGTATATACCCATGCCATGGCATACGAGTGGAGGTCAAAGAACAAACCTGTGGGTGTAGGTTCTCTGTTCCCACCACATGAATTCTGGGGATGGAACTCAGTTTGTCAGACTTGGTGATAATTGTCTATACCCACTGAGCCATCTCACCAGCCCTGTTTCCACACGCTGGCTATTGCAAATGGCACTGCTACTCAAAGTATGCAAGTTGGTGCTGCTGTTTGCTGTGCTAGAGGTCAAACTTAGGACTTTGCACATACCAGGCAGGCAAGCATCCCACCACTGGATTACACAGGTACCAGTTCCTGTTTGACCACCTATTCTTTTGGCTACATTCCTGGGAATAGAATTGGTGATACGTACTATATTTCTATATTTTTCTTATATTGAAGAAAAGTATATACAATTTTCTGTCTCACAATATCAGATAAGAATTAAGAATCACTATTAATTTTGTTGACATTGATAATGGTGGTGTCACATGCCTGATGGCCCTTACCATTTTATTGAGAGGCCTGTTTAATTGCTAAAATAATATAATTAAAACAACAGAGAATCCAGAGAAGTTAGTAGCTTTCTTCACAGAATTCTCACTCATGTTCTACTAGCTGAGTGGGTAGCAAGTTTGCCTCTACTCCATAGGAAACAGGCTCCACTCAGTTATTCTTCGTAACTGCTACCTGGAAGATTACTCCACTGCCTTTGAAACACTGGTCAGGTTGGCATCTACAATGGTAACGGAAGAAATGAGATTTCTATGGAACACACACTGGTAATTGTATGCATCTGTTCTCTCTGCCTTGGTTCTGACATTCCAAGAAACAGCCTACCAGCTGGTCATTTTTCCCAGGAGCCAATGGATGGTCTCCTGGTTGGCTTTGACCTTGCCTTTATGGTCAGTTGGGCATGAAGGTTACCAGCACGCTTTGGATCAGCCCAGAAACATCAGCTACCTTGCACAACTGACTACATTTCTCTTTGATTGATGGAAGGTGTTTCTTTTTGCCCAAGAGAAGTTTAAAGGAAAAGTTATCTTAGAATGAAAGGAAATGGCCTTTGGGACCAGAGATTCCTGACTGAATCCCAGCTTTCATGCCAGTAGTCAGCTGACTCTGTTAGCTTATCTACTACCCAGTGATAAAAGTCTAAGGGCCATCAAGATGGCTCAGCAGGTAAAAACACTATGTGCCCAAGCCTGACGACTGGAGTTTGATTCCTGGAACCCATGAAAAAGTTGGATGTAGTAGCACTCATCTGGAACCACAGCACTCTAACCCGAGATGGGAAGCAGAGACAAGAAAATGGGATGCTTGTGGACCAGCTAGCCTGGAGATGAACCGACCCTGCCTCAGCAAGGAGAAAGGCAAGAACCAACTCCTAACCTACACTCACCCCCACACACAAATAAACAAACAAACAAACAAATTTCAACAAGTGTAATACCTTGGTAACCACAATCTTAAGGAAGCAACTAGGTATGTGATATTTTACTATGTCCTATATTCACAATGAAAAGGAGTTCCTCTGGGTTTCTGAAGACAGACAGACAGACAGATTAGACTAATAAACTGAGGATCAAATCTAGACACATGTATGCATGCATATGTGTGTGTGTGCATGCTTGTGTGTGTTTGCCAGCGTGTTTGTGTATATGCATGTGTGTATGGTGATAACCTTCGATCAAACCCAGAGCCTCACACATGCTAGGTAGGCATGTGTTATATCACTGGGCTACATCCTCAGGTCATTTCCCACACTTTCTATGGGAATGGTGATTTATTTTTGTATCCCACTCTCAAAATAGGAGTGTTGCAAAAGAGATCAACAAACAAATGGACAAACAAAGACATTCTCTTATAGCTCAAGATAGCCTGAAACTTGCTGCTAAGTAGCCAAGGTTGATCCTTTCTCTTCTACTCTTGGGTCGCCATGTCTGGTCTGTAAGCTGAGCTCAGGGCTTTGAGTATTTGCGGTCAGCGCTCTCCCAGCTGAGCACCATCCCCAGCTGATGATTCTTGCCATCTCCCATCTCCCATCTACTAATCAAAGCAGGACTTGTTTGGCTTGACTCTCTCGACATCATTTTCCTGAATTCCCAGGGGAGTCTAGTCTTCACATATGCAGCACTGCGTCTACTCATGGTCTTTTCTCTGTGAGATGCCATGTCCAATCCCTGGAGAGTCTGCTTGTTGGGAGAGACCTTATGTATCCACAACACCGTCTATGCTGCTTCTGATCTCTACTGGCAAAATGGAAGGGGCATGAAGAAAGCCAGCCTTCACTCTGCTCAGTGTGGCATTTTGTCCCTGGTCCTGTACTTGACAGGGTCTCTAAAGTCCCCTTACAAGCACAGGTCCTTCCCTGATGCAAGCTCTGTATCTTACACAAGAAGGTTCATCCTTGATGCTAGCCCTGTATCTACACAAGAAAGCCGAATCTGTCATCTATGGGCCCTCCCTTCTCTCCTCCTCTAAGCATTCTGGGAGTTCAAATGAAGTATGCACCAACTCATGTGAACAGCCTCGGATGAGGAGGCCAGAGAGGCCCAGCTGGCTTAGTCCCAGTTCAGCTTAGGCAATGGCTTTCATAACAGCATCCCAGCCTGCCAGTGAGTACTGTCTTTTCATAGATAGTGAAGAAGTATCACAGTGTGAAACGTTCCATATTAAAAGGAACAGGCCAGAACTCTCCAGAAGCTGCTAATGTCGGGGTCCTCTGACTCTGACAGGGATTTGGTTATCTTGCGGCACATAGCTAACATGCCTAGACACCTGAGTATAAACTTCCTTGTGGCTCCTTTCTCGAGTTAATTGTTTAAAACTCTCCTATCTTCTCCGGCCATGATCTTTTATGGCCCTTGATAGGATCACAGACCCTCCCCCATGCAAAACTCAGGTTCTATGACAACAAGATACCAATCTTGGCTCCCAAAAGATTGAGCTGGCAGAAACAGTCTGGGTCTGGCTTCTTTGCTTTGTTTACCTCTAATGGCAGGAAAAAAAAACATGGTTCTTGAAGACATGGGTGTAAAAAGGCTTCTGTTCTATCACTACCCTTAGATGGGATTGGAGACCTAGTTAAACCTGGACCACAGAGCTGCCACCTTCCAAGCTCTGGGGCTACTCACACCCCAGGCTTGCCATCACTGGAAAGGTTCCAAGGAGGTCCTAGTTTGACATTTTCATTTTAACCCATTGATTTCTTTGTCCCACCCACCAGTGCTGAAGGTTTCTTTGATGCCCATCTTCCTCTCAGATGTAATTGGTGTGCCAGGAGCAGACATTTCTCATTGTCAAGAAAAACCCTAAACCATTTTAAATGCCATTTTCTGAAGGTCTTTGAAAGGTTTGAAGACTGTCTGTCTATCTCAAATATATCTCTGTATATCTAGCAAACCTAACTAACCTAACTATAAGTTCTGACTATTATGAGTAACTATCTATAGTCTGTATTCAATTATGCATTATGCTTTAAAAGATTAGTATAAGCACAATACTTAATCAAGAGGAGAAATATACACATCACAAAATTGACCTTGAATTTGTATCAATAAATGAAAAACCAATACAAAGTACTCATTTCCATACCATAATCCCCTTTTTCCTTTAAAAAGAGATTGGTTGTGATCATTAACCAATTATAAGCAAACAAAGATTTATAAACAATATGGACATCAAAGAAACTTGTTATGGAGTTTGCTTTCAACATGGCAAGATTAGCCATTTGGGCAAGAAACTGCTCTTGCCTGGACTGCTTGACTGTTGCCATATAAACTGGACATGCAGGACCCACAGGAAAGTGACTGCTGAACTCAGTCTTACAGGGTTCCTGCTTCATGGAAGAG